TTTCCATAACATTTTCGATTTACAAATGAGGTATGCTTGGTAACCAGGCCAGGGACCACTTTTTTGAAATCAGGGACCATTTTACCGAAATCCGCTAGGCTCTCTCGCTGAAGCGTTCCGCACAGCACACCCAAGCATAAAACTTTTAAGACTTATTTAAATATATCAAAGCAGCGAATAAAGAGAAAGAGCCTGGGACTAGGCTGATAGACTGTAATTATTTCTAGTTTTTAGGTTGTCACATTCATTATCCCGCTAGCATTTTTACAAAAAAGGCAAAACATCGAAGTCGCCCCAATTCCATTTTGAGTTTTTAACCACCATGGGAACACTTGGCACATCGATATCGTTGACAATACGGATTTCATTAATGTTGACGCATATGCGGAGACGTTTTTCCACGGTATTGGGTCCTGACATAGATATCTTATATACACTAGATAATGCATCTAATTATTCTGCAATTCAAAAATTGAAGCCGTGATTGCAGACTCAGGATATTCCCATGAATGAGAAGACTCGTATGTTTTGTATTTCTTAAACAGGGAACGTATAAACATTAAGTTAAACCTTTTCCAAATACATTTTCAAACTATTCAAATGATGAAAGTTATTGTTGTTTTCCGATCTGTTTATTAGCGAGTGGGAAACATGGCCGCCATCTATTCAAATGGGGGTAACCGCTGGAATATTCTTGGCTTCAATTTTGCTAAAAGAGATGCGCTATCTTGTTTATATAAGATATCTATGGGAATGACCATTGGAATGTAGGCCTGCGCAGAACGTATGCGCAGATCGGACTTTTACATGGTCTTTAAGCGATTGTATATTTCAAGGATTCAATGAGGAAAGAAGGAACTAATTATAATAATAATAAACAAAACGCCAGCTGAGACTGACAACTTGCGCGGTAAGGGGTAAATAGAGACCTTACGATTTTAGGACGGCAACGGCTACCAATCATAGATAACTTATATACACTAGATAGTGCATCTAATTATTCTGCAATCCAAAAATTGAAGCCGTGATTGCAGTCTCAGGTCGTTCCCATGAAATGAGAAAATTCGTATGTTTTTTTTTCTTAAACAGCTAGGGAACTTAAAGATTAAGTTAACCCTATTCCAAATACGTTTTTAAACTATTAAAATTATGGAAGTTATTGTTGTTTTTAAGCGTCTATTAGCAAGTGGGAACGACCAACATGGCCGCCATCTATTCAAATGGGGGTAACCGCTGGAATATTCTTGGCTTCAATTTGACTAAAAGAGATGCGCTATCTAGTGTATACAGGGTGTATAAAAAAAACGCAACCTCGGAATTTCCCAAGAAATCGATATTGTTGTAAAGACAAAGGATTTTAGGCTCCTGGGAATTTAAAATAGCACAACTGTCAAAATTACTGCACACGCGAGTGCATTTGTGCATAAAGCAAAATTTATGCATTTATTTAATGCACAACAACAGTAATATATGATCTATTAACAATTCGATTTCAATTCCCAGGAGCTTAAAATCTTTTATGCTTAAGAATTGCAAAGTGGATTTCTGAGGAAATTCCGAGGTTACGTTTTTTTTTATACACCCTGTACAGTATAAGATATCTATGCTACCAATACAATAGCTCATTGAAAAGAATTGGAAAATTACAATATATGAATAATTTAGACATTGTCCTTGCTCTGTTTACAACGCCAAATCACAGATTTTCACGTCGATCTTGATACAACGGCTGCATTTCAAGCCGCAACAAGTGCAACTTCAAACTGGTTCAGGAGAACTCTTCCTAACCATAAAACCCATGTTTTCAACTTCTAAGACTGTATTAAATTCATACGATTGATAATGTACGACGCATTATCTTTACTACCATTTATGTGAAGGAGTTTGTTTTGGCCGTCGTGGTACTAAAATCGTAAGGTCTCTAATGTGCAATAGAGATGGGGGTGGAGATGGTCTGGTTGACTTTGTAATAAAAAACAAGACGCCAGCTCATGAAGGTGTTCACTCAACAGTGTAAAATTCAGCGACATGTTAAACAGCGATGGAACGCTGAGTAGCGCTGAACGACAGTACGTAAATATCTCACACCTTGTCAAAAATTATAAGATGAGCTAGCTCGTAACAGGCTTGTAAGTCTTGTAGCAAGCTTTTAACATGTTGTAACAATGATGTCATTTTGTCAATTAAGTTGCTACAATCTTGTCACCCACAACGTGTTCAGTGACAATTTATAACTGTTCAGGTCAGTTCGACAACATTGTAACAAATAATCAACAAGCCGTTGACGACTTCTCGACAAGCTTGGACCAGGCAGTCTGAACTGAACACTTTTTGATAATTGGTCGTTGAAATTGCATTGGTGCATATTTGCGGCAGATTTGCTGCAAGCGATGTGCGTTTTTACATTTGTAAAAACGAAGCACACTATGACACTCCCAGAGAGCATCGTTTTAGATATAACTTCACACCGTGATTATAGTCGTGATCATAAAATATATCCGTACATGCAGATACCGAAGGAACTAAACTGAGTTCCAAAATATTACCTACTCGAATTGACTTGAGCTCCTACCTAAGAAAAGTTTTAAAAAGTTTTAAAAGAGTTTTGAAAAGAAAAAAATTAAAAAAGTTAGATTTTTAAAAAAGTTAAAAAAATTTAAAAAGTTAAAAAAATGAGGGTTAGGGGTCAGTGGTTAGGGGTTAGGGGTTAGTGGTTAGGGTTGGGGTTGGGGTTGGGGTTGGGGTTAGGGTTGGGTTGGGGTTAGGGTTAGTGTTAGGTGCCGCGAATTTATTATTATGATAAATTCAAAATTTGCTGCGAATTTATCATAATGATAAATTCGGACGTGTTTAAGAATTTACTCATATAGTAAATTCAGAGGTGGAGCTCATGCTGGCTTTTGTACAAATGCATTTGTCACAATTAATTTGTCACAAATTTATCATTTACACGACCAAAATATCTTTGACATATGAAATTTGTCAAATAAAGTTTGCTTGTGTAAACAGGGCCGTAGCGAGGGGTGGAGGGAGTATTCGGAGGGGGGGGGGGTTAACACCAAACCCCCCACCCCACCCCCAACTTTTTTAGAATTAACATATTCGGAAAATCGGGTTGGTCATTCGGAAAATTACGGCAATAGTAGCATAACAGAATTTTAGTTGTTTGAACAAAGAAAATATTATAAAATGGTATTGCCCAGTATAAACTGATTGACGAAATCACGGCATTTACATGGCTAACATTTAACAAGTCGTAAATCCGTAAATATTTTTTTGTTTATTACTCCTCAAGGCCATAGCAACGGGGGGGGGGGCCTGGGGGCTGCAGCCCTCACAATAATTTGCTAATAATCATTTTTTATTCAAAATCATGCACACATTTATCATTTAAATAAAATACCTTTAAAATACAGACAATTGATTCATTTTAAGCGGCTACATTATCCATTATAAACTCCAAAGAATCGTATTACCCATACTCTTTCCTGCAACTTCTCCAGTACAGTATAGTTAATTAAATACGCCTTTGCCCATTTAGGGCTAAATTGTTAGCAAATTGTAAATTTCGACATACTAAAACTCTATTTTCTGACCATCAGAATTCAGTCAAAACTTCCCCCAAAGTCCAAGAAATGGCATTTCAGAAACTCTAAAATTAAAAATTTCCTCGGGCCTTTGTCCTCGTTTACAGCCTTCAATCAAAAATATGTCTGTGCGTAAAATATGCGTATTTTTGTTTGAAAATTGCATCTTCATTTTCCAAATAGCAAACGCCTTCGTGGCTTCGTATGCATATTTGTCATTCGGAAATTTTTGGCATACGCCCCCGCCCCCCCC